TTAACTTACCTATTTAATTTATTTTGTTCCCTTTCCATTTGCATCTTGTTAACTTTACTCAATCCTAGCCAGAATAATAGCACTGCTACTGTACTCAATCGAACCTGGAATCTCCCTGGGAAATCGCGCCCTCGATCGGCGCTCGGAGTTGTAGTGCGGAATTGGTACACCCGAATCTGCGGCTTCGGGTGCCGGTCGGGGGGGCGACCCCCCCCCCTAACATCCTAAGAGTAATTTACAATCAACAATTAATAATTAACTTACCTATTCAATTTATTTCGTTCCCTTCTTGTTTACTTGCATCTTGTTAACTTCACTCAATCCTAGCCAGGAATACAGCATAACAACAGTATCCATTCGGAATCGGAATCGAACCTGGAATCTCCTTGGAAAACTGCGCCCTCGATCGGCGCTCGGAGTCGTATAGCGGAAGTGGTGGACCCGCATTTGAGGCTTCGGGGGCCGATCGGAGATGCGACCCCCCTCCGTTATTCTCGGAATAACCCATAACTTATAATTAACAATTACCAATAATTAATATTAACTTATCTATGCTCATTCAATTATTCTGGTCCATTAGCTTGTATTTTGTTTGTTTATCTCACTCAATCCCAGTCAGGAACACAACACGATAACTTTACTCAAACCAGTAATTTGGAATCGAACCTGGAACCGCATTGGGAAGCTGCGCCCCTAGTCGGCGCTCGGGGTTCCGACGCGGAATTGGTGGACCTGCGGCGGAATCTTCGGGGCCTGATCGGTGGAAGGACTCCGTTATATCCCCAGAACATCCTACAATCAATGTTCTGACTTTCATTCAATTATAGTCTGTTCCCATGTACCTGCATACTGCCATGTTACTCATTTTCAGCCATAAATACAACACTGCAGCATCACTTAATTGGAATCGAACCTGGATATGCTGTGGGGAACTGTGCCCCCGGTTGACACCCGGGGCCCTGACGCGGTTTGGGAGGACCTGCGGCGGGATCTGACTCCCCCCACATCCTTATAACAATAACGCAAACACTCTTCAGTCAGGATCATGATAGTGGTCCTGGAGGGAGCGGACCCTCCGGACCGAACTCTGGACTACGAAGCGGAATTGGTGGACCTGCGCCGTAGTATCCTCGAGCTGGTCGGGGGAGTGGTCCCCCTCGCGACCCTTGCAAAGGCGACCTGGCGTCAGTTGGGCAGAATACTTGTTCAAGCATTGCACAAAGCGTTGTCCCCTGGCTCCGTCTATTTGTTTTCATTCCTTTTCATTTAGGATACCTTTGCTAAGTAAGGCCCCCCTAAGCTCTTAGGCCCACTTAGAAACTCAGCATTCAAGGACCCCCTGGGCCCCTTTGGCTCTTTCTGGACCCCACTGGAGCCCTCTCTGGACTTACTGGACCCCTCCGGGGCCCCCTCGGACTCCATGGAACATCTGTACGGAGCCGAGGCCCCCTCAGGCTTCACCGAAACATCTCCTCGGAGCCTGAGGGCAGCGCCAAGCGACCAACAGGGACTTTAGCTGCTTCTGGACGCTGGAACATCTCGATGCTGGCTTCAAGAGCATCACACACACTGGGTGCCTTGACGGCCCCGGCGTCCCGCGGCCGCAGCCACCCCTGGTGTATGCGGTCGCGGGGCGGCGGGGCCACATCATCCCCGGCACCCTCACACTCTATTCATCATTCATCACTCATCTGCTCATCCATACCCTCACCAATCATTCATTTCTTTCTGGGAACGAGGGTTCTATCCTCACCACACCCTCACTTTTCTTCTTTCACCATTCTTCGACCCTTGTTCCCTCTTTCTCATCATCCTCTATCCCCTTTCTTTCTCTCTACCCCTATGGAGGGGGTCCGTGGACCATCGAGAAGCTCCCGGGCCAAGCCCAACCCCCCCCACTCATCTTCATCCATCCTCAGCGCCTCTCCTATCGATAGGAGTTGGTCCTCCCCCTCATAAGGGGGATCTAAAGCAAACTTTGACGACTTTTGAACTAAAATCAATTCAGCTTAACAAAAAAAAACTCCAGCGTCAAAGCGTGACACTTAATAAGGACTCAGTGTCATCATAGTCTAGTTCCTGTAGCCAATTAACAATCTTTTTCTTACATTCTGCTCGAGACATTGGGTATATAGATAGAACGGCGTCTAATTTTTTATATAAATGACTACCTAAGAAGCAGAAGAATTTCTGTGCAAACTTCGTGTTAACTCTAATTCCAGTGCATACACTGCGGCTACTTCTACTGTTCCCAAGTAAGCCTGGATCGTAATCTATTTCTTGATGTTTCCTAATAATAGTATTGAGAATGAATAGTTGACGTACAGTTAACACGTCGCACCTCTGGTACAGTTCAGTCGTTGGGAATAGAATCGGCAACCTTAGACTGACTTTTAGTACAGCCCTTTGTGCCCTCTCGAGGGTTAAAAGCGAAGTTTTAGAACTACCTCCCCAGGATGTAATACAATATGTAAGCAGAGATTGTACCAACGCCATGTAGACAGTTTTTAATCTTTTTTTATAAGCTACGTCTCTTAAGTTTTTAAAAATATATATCATTTTACGTATCCTGGCTGTGATTGAATTAATGTGCATTTGAAAGTTGAGATTGCTGTCTATTACAACGCCGAGATATTAAATGTTATCCATTTTCACTAACTTATGACAAGTACAGTGGTTGCCAGTCTGAGAGCAATAGTTAGAGTGAGACACTATACAGAAATTATCTTCAGATTTGGTCTTATAATTTTTTATAGAAAATGTGACGAATTTAGTTTTGGTATTATTGAGTGTAAGTTTATTTATTAGCAGTCAATTTTTAACAAGATTAAACCCATTCTGCGCATGTGTATATACCTGATCCCAAGTATCCCCAAAAAATAACAATGCTGTGTCATCGGCAAAGGTAACTATCTTGCCATTAGTTAACTTCATCCTGCATAGATCGTTAATATATGCTAAAAATAAGGTTGGTCCTAGTGAACTTCCCTGTGGAATTCCAATATTAATAAGAAGGTCAGAACTGCATAACTCTCTGATTCGAACCCTTTGAAATCGATTTGCAAGATAATTTTCGAAAAGATGAAGTTGGGAACCTCTTATTCCGAGTCTTTCGAGTTTGTTCAGTAGTATAGGTACAGAAACTGTGTCAAATGCTTTGGCAAGATCAAGGAATATAGCTATTACTTTTTTTTTGTGTCAAGATTAGTAACAATAAAATCTACTAGGTCATGAACTGTATCATCACAAGATAGACCCGTTCTAAAACCATATTGGGACCTTGAAAGAATATCATTAGTTTCAAAATAATTGATCAAACGTTTATTTATTAGTTTCTCTAAAATTTTTGACAGTGTTGGTAATATAGCGATTGGCCTGTAGTTATTGACAGAGTCTCTGTCTCCTCCTTTGTATATAGAGTGAACATCTGCAAGCTTTAATTTATCAGGAAAGGTACCCAGTTTGAATGTTAAGTTAAATATATAAACTAATAAGGGAGCAAAGATCTCGCAGTATCGTTTGAGCATAAAATTTGGAATATTATCACGCCCTGTCGCACAGTCATTCTTTAATGCCCGAATAATAGAATATATTTCCGCCTGGTCAGTATCAAGAATCACAAATGAATTAGGATTACTATCAGTGTCTGAAGCCCAGCTGTTTTTATTTGTAATAGGGAAATTTGCGGCTAGTTTGTGGCCCACTTCGGTTTTTATTTAAGTTGTCGATGTCTTTTTGCTTATTACTATCGGACAATAGATGTATAGGTTTATCCTTTTTGTTATTAGTGTATGTAATAGATTTAATTGTCTCCCAGAGTTTTTTGTTGCCTTCATTGTAAGCTTTTTGTATTTCCATCTTTTCGTAATCTCTTTTTAATTTTTTTGCATAGTTTTTACAAAAATTCTTATATCTTTTGTAAGTAGTTTTTAAAATATCATTATCTGGGTTGTTTTTTAATTTTTTGTGCAGTTTATCTCGAACTCTCATACACTTTAATAGTCCAATAGTTATCCATTGTTTTTTTATTCTTCTCCTGAACGGGATATATGATTGAGTGGAGTTATTGTTTTTCATTTTAACAAAAGAATTTATTTAAAAGTTAACGGCTTTATTGACATCTGACATTGAGTAAATAGTAGAAAAATCATATTTTTGTATGTCTAAATCGAGTTTAAAATAATTAATTTTATTGACTATGGTAGGGGGTTTTTTGTTGACGGCAATCTCTAGTGTAAACATAACAGTGTAATGATCCGTAATAGTGGTCTCAGCAACATAGCAACGTGCACTCAATCTTGATTTCAGCATTACGTGGTCGAGACAGGTATTTCCGTGAGTAGGTAATGTGTGGCATGAGAGTATTCCATGCGATGCCAGAAGATTGAGGTACACTCCTGAATTAGGATCATTATTATTGGAGTTGATGTCGATATTAATATCACCGGTCAATATGATATTATTGAACGATGAGTGATTAAGTAGCAGCCGATTTAATGATTCGAAAAATCTACTCAAGTTTTTATAACCAGGAGGCCTGTAGATCGCTATTATAATAGTATCTCGATTTAATTTGACTAATAAACAATTAGAGTCCCACAAGTCAGGTTCCTCTATAGTTAATTTTATTTTGTTGCTAAAATATATTATAACACCTTCATTCTGTGTTTCATGTTTTGTTGTAGCCAAATACTGGTAGCCGTCAATGTTTGGTATTATAACAGACTTCTTAAGCCAACATTCAGTTACTATAATTAATTCCCAATCCATTTGTGTGCGTGCTAATAAGGTGTGCAAACCTATACTATTACAATTAATGCTCCTTATATTTTGTATAAGTATTTTTACGAGTGATTTACTACTTTGAATTATGTTGTGGCAGTCATCAATGTCACAATTGTCCGATAAGGCGACAGTGAACTGATCAATATCGTTATTTATGTTTGTTATATTATCCACTATTAAGTATTACTATAATAATGTAATAAACTAGTGTTACTTTATAAATTAAATTTAATATTTCATATACCTCATATAGTACGGGCCTGCGCGGGCAGTGAGCATGTCTGTTATGTTCTATATTTTTTACATATATAAAGTCATGGTACATTGAATGTAATAGGCAGATGTTCATTAAATAATTGGAATGTATAAATAAGAGCAGGAGATCACCGATGAGTGCAATTATAATATTACTATTTATTTTTATTATCATTTTTTTAATAAGGCAGCTTAATACTAAAGATTTTTTTCCTAAACAAAAATTTAACTCACAATAAATATATAAACATGCAGGTATCCCAACTTTAAATAATTTTGAATGTCTCAAATAATAATTTGAGTTAGTTTGGTAGGTAATTAACAATAGATTGCAGTAACTCATAAACGGTCAGATAGACCTATTTCGTATTTTCATTATATCATCTTCCGAGTCAATGCGTATATGTAGGTTTAGAATTTTCAGTAATTTTTACAAAGATGTGACCATAATTTGTCCAACAGCTGCTTGCAATCTTGTCTTTGATTAACTGACGAGCTAGGTAGTGGAGTTTTTTGGCTTTAATTGTCAATACTTCGCCCACATAGAATGCTTGTGCCTGCCCAGGTATGTTTAAATGCTTTGAATTAAGCTTTTCTTTATTGGTTTTATTAAATTCTCTGCATTTTTTTATTAACATTTCTCTAAGAGAATTCGTCGTAAATTCCACTATAACGGGACTATTCTAAGCTTCTTTTGTGGGTTTAAATCTAGTAATTTCTCGTATTTCTCTGTCCTCAATGTGTAAATTTTTTTTTTTCCAATATCCATTACAATTTTGCGTAGAATTTCTTTATTTTCATGTTGTTGTTTAGGTATATTTCTGATTTCGAGCATTGATGTACGTGAGTTTTTTTCTATTTGCTCTAATTTTGATTCGAGACTAATGATTTGTTTTTTATAATCAGCGTTCTCTTGTTCCAAAATCGATATACGATCAACATAGTCATCATATTTCGACGAAATAAATTCCATACTTGTTTTGATTTCCGAGTTTTGGTGTGTAATAATAGCCATAGAATCAATCAATTTTTCGATTTTTTCGTTTTGATGTAATTCAAATCTATTAAATAATTCATTCATTCTGTTCATAATCAAGTCTAGATCTGAAGAGGTCGAATCAAGTTTGCGCTTAAGCCTTCTGTTAGTAGAAGTTTCTGACATCGTGTATTCATCAGTTTTTGTTAACTGGTTTAATTGGGAGTCGGATCCATAGGTCGTAAGTTGGTTGTAGTGAGAATCTTCCTCTCTGTTCGGTGTCCGCTGTGTTTTTGGCATAGTTAGTTAAATTGTAATGTAGGCCTAAATGAACGCTAAGTAACTGCCGTCGGCAAACGTTCGATAATGTGGGAGGGGCCAGCAGTGGGGGCGGCTCGTATGCGTAAGCGCAGTGGTTGGGTGGAGGGCGGGGAGAAAGCGTTTCTGTGATTGTTCTTTTTAGCGGTAGGTGAGGACGGAGTAGGATATGTAGTATCGTCACTGTTTAATTACTATTTCCTACTCACAAACTCAGCCGAGCTTCTTTGATGGTATGTTCGCCTGGTAGCAATTCCGAATATAGTTGAGGAAGTTGTAAACAGAATTCACGCGCCGTGTCCCCGTTTTAATGTAGCAACACCTCCTTAACATTTATGCACTCCTATTTTTTTTTTAATGATATTTTATTATTTAAATGTAAGAAAAAATGAAATAAAGTATCTAAGACGTCTACTCGGTATCGAGATCCGGACGGAAGGGAAAAACAAATTGTTCAAATATTTGTATGAAAATCTCAATTTACGTGAAATTGTTTTTTGACATATTAATTGTGTTCTTTGTGCTAGGTTGTATGGCCATGTTTCGGGATTATACATGTATTACCAAACATCCTGTATATATTGTATTTTTACTTGGTGCACTTGGATGCAATGAGTACTTATATGGATATACTAATTGGATACTTAACTGATCCCTTTGTATTGAAAATTAAATCTAACGAAATTAATTGTTTTAAACTTAATATAATATATGATGAATATGATGATTTAATGTATATGAATAGTGAATTACACTGCTTGCATCTATGCTTCGTGTTATTATCAAGTGTACAAAGGTGGTAAAGCATCTTTATGTAATAATTTTAACCTATCTCATTGTCTACTGTATGCATTATATTCTCACTTAGTTTATTATGTTGCAACTGGTGCTCATAGGGATGTTATAATTAAATACTTATCTGCTCTGTTTATATATGGGAATTAATTTTAGTGAGTTTATTCGTTTTAAGCTTAATATATGTGAGTATAATGATATAATGTATACGAATGTAAAAAAAGCAATATCATAGAATAATGATAGACAACATCACTGTTTGTATAGATACTTTATATTGTTACCTATTTCATCTTTGTACAATAGGCACTTATAAATATAATATCCTTTTTAATTACTTGCTCCATTCGCTTATATTGAAATCTTTCTTATTAAAGCCTAGCTGCTCGAAACTTGGGAGGGGTATTCGCTCATGCGTGTGTAGTTCAAACAATTTTATCTTTAAAAATGTGCGCTTTTAAGGAACTTAATGTGTATTATCAGAACGTGCGAGGATTACGTACTAAATCCGAATCTTTTTTAGCTAATGTGCTACTAAATAACTATGATTTAATATTTTTGACTGAGACTTGGTTAACAGAAAATTTTAATAGCGAAGAATATTTTAATAATAATTTTATAGTTTATCGACGAGATTGGAACATAACTGATGGCCGCGGTAGTCGCGGGGGGGGGGGGGTGCTCATTGCGGTGCGTCGTCACCTGTCTGCTCGCCGTCGACGGCACAATACGCTACTCCACGATCCCAGTGCTTCAAAATAATGGTGAGACTATGGTGGCTTTCTCACAACAAAATTCAAGTCAGGTACTTTTGTTAACAGTCTTAATAGAATTATATAATCCTCAAAACAGAACAGGTTCGCGCGCTTCTAGACAGCGGTAGCCAATCTTAAAGAGTTACAAACTAGATTAAACTTAAAGTGCAATTCATTGGATAGTGTCAATGTCATTGGAATTGGTAACACTTGTCCCAATAAAGCAGTCGAAAGCTGTGTTACTCGTCTAAAGTCCATACGTTCTTCTTATCAAGTCACGATGTGTTGTTATATTCTAAATGATCTAACGGGAGACCTACCAAAGGCTCCAGTCAATGTACAAAATTTACATATTCCTAAAGGGCTTCCACTTGCAGACCCCCATTTCGATCAACCCGCTTCTATTGAGGTATTGATTGGGCCGATATATTTTGGGACATCCTGGGAAGTGAACAACACTCCTTAGGACCCAACTAACCAAGATTACATAATACAAAATTGGGCTGGATTATAGCTGGTCCATTAAATTCTAAATATTCATACAAAAATATACAATGCAATCATGCAACAATTGTTAAGTCCAATATTGATGAAATGCTTTCTAAATTTTGGGAACTAGAAGAACTTCCTCAAGGGAAGTTGCAAACTTCTGAAAATATACAATGCAAAAAACATTTTCTTAAATATACTACACGTTTAAATAATGGTAGATTTTTTGTGAGATTGCCACTAAAGAACTCACCAGATTGCCTAGGAAATTCATATAGTTTAGCTGAAAAACGATTCCTTAATCTTGAAAAACGATTTCGTAAAGACCCAGAATTGAAGTTACAATATTCATAATTTATTCGTGAGTATGCTGAATTACAGCATTTGTCTCACCTAAATAGCATTCCCGATATTTCATACTTTCTATGTCATCCTCATCATGCTGTTTTCAAGCATGACAGTGAATCTACAAAAATTCGAGTAGTGTTTGATGGTTCTGCTCCTTCTTCATCAGGCTATTCAGTCAATGACATTTTGTTGACAGGCCCTAATATTCAAGATTCTTTGTTTTCAATTTTGCTAAGAGCACGTCAATATAAATTTATTTTAACAGGTGATATAGCTAAAATGTTACGCCAAATTGTGGTTGACAAAGATGACTGTAATTTACAACTAATATTATGGAGAAACAACGAGTCGCAAGCTATAAAATTTCTTCAATTAGATACGGTGACTTATGGCAGAGCATGTGCCAGTTACCTTAGATGTCTATGGCAAGTAGGGGAAGAATGCATTGATCATCGTATAAAATACTATTATTCAAAAGGATTTTTATGTCGATGATAAACAGCATTAAGCTGTAATAAACAGGTGCTGATCAAGAAGAGGACTTAAAATACATAAAAGATTCAGTATCTGATGCTCTTGAATCTGCCTGTTTTCATTTGAGAAAGTTCAAAACTAATTCTCCTAATTTATTTCAAAATTCAAATATTAATTCTAAGGAAAAACTTAGCTTTAGTGAATCGTCAAGCACTCTCGGTTTGGGTTGGGACCCACAATCAGACAGGTTTAATTTTCCTGTCAAAACTATAATTGACAACAACGTCATTACAAAAAGAAAAATTATGTCTAATTCCTTTCGTATATTTGACCCACTGGGTCTTCTGAGTCCCTGTATAATTCAATCTAAAATATTACTTCAAGAATTATGGCTTAAGGGGTTTGACTGGGATCAATCAGTGGATGAAGATATAAAAGAAAAATGGTTGCGAATATGTTATAATTTACCTCTTCTTGCAGATCTTCAAATACCACGCCTTGTTTTATATGAAGCACCAAAATCAATAGAGCTACATACGTTCAGCGATGCGTCGCAGAAGGCGTATGGTGCTTGCATTTACCTGCGTTCAGTAAATGCAGACGGCGAGGTAACGGTAAGGCTGTTATGTGCTAAATATAAAGTAGCGCCTTTAAAGCCAACTACGATTCCTCGTCTTGAGCTGTGTGCAGCCTTACTGTCATCTCGGCTATGCAAAAATACTCTCGACGCATGTGCTCGACGAGTGTACCTTATACACTCCTTCACGTATATTTCATTGGTGCGATTCTAATATAGTTCTTTGTTGGATAAACAATGAACCAAATAAGCTTAAAACTTTTGTAGCTAACAGAGTAGGTGAAATATTAGATCTTACTGATCCTAAATTATGGCGTTATGTACCCACCACTGATAACCCTGCTGATCTCATATCTAGGGGCGTTAATGCTAGTCAGTTCATCATAAGCGATTTATGGTGGACGGGGCCATATTTTCTTTCAAAAAATGAGATACAGTGGCCCACGCTAAATAATAATCAAATTGTGAATTTACCCGATGTCAAAGTCAATACAGCTGTCACAGTTTCAATGGTATCATTCGATTTTACTAAATATTCAAGTTTCAATAAATTGCAAAGAATATTCTCTTATGTTCGTTTTTTACATAATTCCTAATTAAATAACAAAAATAATAAAAAAACGGGTCATTTGAACGTAGAATAATTGAATAATTCATTTAACCTTATTTGTCGTGTTTCGCAAAAACAATAATTTGCTTTAGAATATAAAAGACTATTCGAAAATAAAGAATTGGAATTAAAGTCAAAGTTATTAAGCTTGTCCCCATTTTTCGATACAAATACAAAATTGATAAGGGTAGGCGGTAGATTAGCTGCTTCAGACTATTCTTATAATAAGCGTCATCCTATGTTATTGGATACTTCTCATCATATTACAAAAAATTATTTGGAACGTGAACATTTATCCAATTTACATGCAGGTCTGCAAATTTTGCTATCCACTATTAGAGAAACCGTTTGGCCCATTAACGGTAGGAAGCTTGCGAGACGTGTTGTAAAACAATGTGTCATTTGCACACGTATTCGTGGTCATACAATGATTCCTAAAATGGGTAATTTACCCTCATGTCGTATCACAGTAGGTTTTCCATTTAACTCTGTGGGCGTCGATTATGCCGGTCCATTTTTTATTCTCAATCGTAAGGGACGTGGTGCAAGATTGATAAAATGTTATTTGTGTATATTTGTATAGCACAAGAAATAAAGATAAACTTGCCGTTCCAAGCTTCAGACTTCAAAAAACCAGAGGATCATTTCTGGGTAAATGTATTGCTATGTTCAATA